GGGTGTCAGATCTGGGTCATGGGGGGGGGCCATAGGGGGGGGTCTGTGTGTGCCCTGCCAAGGGGTTGAAGCTCATCCCGGCTCCAGGAGGGTGTCAGGGTCCCCCCCCGGGATGCGGGGCAGCACTGGTGCTGCTCCGTCTCTGTCCCCATCACCGCTGCTGGGGGGGGTGTTTGAAGAGGACGAGGTTTCCCCCCTCCCACCCTGACCCCGGACCCTTCTTGCAAGGAGTGTCCCCACAACTCAACCCGCTCCCCAAGAGCCTCAGACCTTGGAGAAGCCACAACCTCGTACCCACCAAACACGGAGGCTCAGAGCCCCCTCAGCTCCAGCCTCTTCCCGCTCGCTCCGGTGGCCTCGTGCAGGGATGTCCCGGCTTTTGGGGCCGATTTTTTCACCCCGCAGCCATCGCTTCCACTGTCACCGCCCACCCTACACCATCCATCGTCTCCTGATGCCACCACTTCTACCCTCATCCCTCTCCGCACCATCCATCCTTTCCTCCTGATGTTCTTCAGCAACGAGATGGCACCCTCAAACCTTGGAGCGTTCCCCAGCTGCCAATGGGCTCATCCCAAGGGAGATGCTCCACATCCCCCAGCTGAGAGCCCCGGGGACCTGGTGGTACCTTCTGGACCACCCCAGAAGAGGCTGACAGCCCCAGAAATTCTTCCAAGAGCCTAAAAATAGGCAAACTGAACAAAAAATTCCATCATCCGGGACCTTCTCTTCCTTCAGAAGCTTTGAAACCACGACGCCAGCACCAGTCCTGCCATCGGCGCGGCTTTTGCGCCACTGGAGCCGTGTGTCCCGCCCCATTCCAAACCCGTCCTGCTGGTGAGAATGGTCCAGGAGCTAAAAATATGCTTTTTCTATTTAATATTGGTGCAAAAGAGGGGAAAATAGGGCTTCTGCAGAAGAGCCGGTGGCTGGCGGCCACTTGCTGTCCCGACCCCTGATGGGTGCTTTTTGGTTAAAACCAAACTTGGGGACTTGGGATCATCTACTTTTCCCTCCATCCCTGATGCTGTTGTCTTCCAAGGGTTTCCCTGATGGTTTTTGGGCACAGTAAATGCTGCAGGGGGGAGCTGATGGATGCATGGGGGGGGGTCTGAAGCCACCCTGAAGGAGGTGGCTTGGGGGATGTCGAGAACTGGGTGACCTCAAATCTGGTGCCCATTGATCGAATCATGGAATGGTTTGGGTTGGAAGGGACCTTTGAAGGTCACCTAGTCCGCCCCCCTGCCATGGGCAGGGACATCTTCAACCAGATCAGGTTGGTTCTTTGGATGCAGCCCAGGAGACAGTTGGCCTCCTGGCACGTTGCCGGCTCACGTCCCCCTTGTCACCCACCCGTGTCCCCAAGTCCTTCACCACTCTCCGTCCCTTCATCCCCCAGCCTGTACGGATACGGGGGATCGCCCCCACCAGGGTGCAGGACCTTGCCCTTGGCCTGCTTGAACTTCCTGGGGGTTCACATGGGCCCCACTTCTCCAGCCTGTCCAGGTCCCTCAGGCGGGTCAACCCCACCACTCGGCTCGGTGTCATCGCCAAACCGGCTGAGGGTGCACTCGATCCCACCGTCTACATCGTCGATGAAGAGATTAAACAGCAACCTTCACTCATGGATGCTCTTAAAACCATTTCTTGGGGTGTCTCCACCCCACCCCAGCTCCAGGTCCCAGCCCCACCATCGCTGGGGCTCCAGGTTGAGGTCCCTCACCTTGCGCTGGGAACCTCTTGGTTTCATCCGGGATGCCGAGCCTTCACCGGCATCCTGCTCCGGCAAACCACGCCAAAAACCAGAGGGATGCCGGGAAAAGGGGCTCATCCCACGTCCCCGTCCCCCCATTCCGCCCCACCGCTGATGGCCACGGCACCAAGGGTGCTCGTGCCCACCTCGGGGTCATCCATCAAACACCGAGAAAACCCGTCAGCACCTTCTATGTGGCTCCGCTTAATTAAATTCCTGCCTTCCCCCTCTTGCTAACGGCTATTAAATTGATATATAATATTATAGTTGTGTATATCATGTTAAAATTATACGATATATACTTTAATATTATATATTTATAGATAACATTGTATATAACTGTCGATAATGTTTTCTATATTTCTATATAGATTTCTATGTATTTCTAAATGTCTATATTTCTAAATTATTTATATGATATTATCGTTGTAAAAATATCTGTTTTGTTATATGTAACTCTATATAATGTTATACATATCTATAACATTATACAGAATGGTCTACAGTTATATCTTAGATTTGTTTGTTATATATTACTCAAACGTTAAAAAATATGTTTACTTTGTAACATTATATGTATTTATCCATTATATATAACGTTCTGCATATCGCGTATGTATGCGATATATACCATTACACAATGTACGTAACATTACATACAACGTGATGTCTATAACGTTACATATAACGTGATAACATTGTGCGTAACACCGTAAAATGGGATCCATCCAGCCTATCCACGTCTCCAGCCGTAGAGACGACGTTTAGCCGTGGTCCCTCTCCCGAGTCCTCCTTC